GGGGGAAGGGGGGGGAAAATAATAAAATATTAAATTGAAAAGGGGCGATTTTTAATTTTTTTATATAGCATGTCATGAGCCAGGCCATGAAAATTTACTTCCTGACCACAATATTACACCTCAAGTGAAGCTAAACAGCAAAAGAACCGGCAGGTTTATGAAAAAAAAAAAAAATTTACAAAAATTTCAGTACAAGGAACTATGCAAGTGATATTCAAGAAAAAAATTAATTAAATGGCACTTCAAAGCCAATAAATTCACCTATCTTAGCTGTATGTCCATTATGAATTAAGAACAATGTTTTGAAAATCGACCCGATCATTGACCTGGAAAAGGTGAAGGGTCAAGGGTCAAAGGTTCAATCGGGATCGAACCGGATGCAATAAATACATAAAAAATAATAAAATATTATGAAAAAAATATATTTAAAAAAAAATTCATATTAATAATTTGTTAATTAGATTCATTATTCTATAATTTGTTAACATTTTTGTTATGTTACTATCCCACATTAGAAGTTTATGAAACCATTAAAGAGAAGTACATCTATAAAATCCACTATTCCACATTGGAAGTTTGTAAAACCATGTGAAAGAGGTGTATCTATAAAAGGAACATGTCATCAAATATTTCTTTATGGACTTTTGAATTGTTGTTTATGAGACCCATTTATGAAGTTGAAATTTTTTAAACTTAAAAAAATATATATATTGGGAAAACCACAAAATCGCTACCGATTCACTGGTTCATGGTTAAACCAGTCGGTTCGGTGGGTTTTTAACCAGTTTAGTCATGAGAGGTTAATTGGGCATGATTGGTCTAATTTTGGGCCCGGTTCCCAATTTTACCGGTTGAACCGGCGGAGCCAGGCCGATTTTGATAACATTGGTTAAGAAGGTAATACAAACATTTACCCACAAAAATAAGACTAAAGAAAGCTGAAGCATTACAATTCTTAGATCGTGGAAGATAATTACCCTTTTTTTAAAGAAACTAAAATGACGTAAAAATATCTTTATTTTACTTAAAAGAAAGAAATATAGAAAATTAGAAGCATAAGAGTACCAGATAATATTATCAATGATTCAAGTCATAGTAGAAACCTCATTAGCAGACTATCTAAGGGTTGCCTTCGAATATAATCATAAAAGCAAATTAGCGAATATTAATTGAATCACATGACGTATGTGCGAATTTAAATTAATAAGAAATCTGTAGAATGACGGTATTTATTTGTTTAGCCATTATGATGAAATTAAAATCAAGAAATAGAATAACTATCTCATCATAGTAGAGATAAATGAGAAGTGATTACTGTGTATTTGCAGTACATGTGAATCGATGAGCACATGAGGGAAATGAAATAAAATCCCAAGAGAAGTTGTAAAGAATTTTTCTTTAAACAGATAACAAAGTTAAAAGTTATAGGTGTTGACTTCAACTATACAAAATGACACAAAGTAATTTGAAATTATGCCATGATTTAGAACTTCAAATACAAGGCAAAGATTACAATAACGTAAGAGACTGAAATCCAACTCCCGTTATTCTAGCTTTAAATTATATTTTATAGGAACTAATTTTTTCTACTTTTCTGTTTAGATAACTAAATAGATCCACTTTTGGTACCATTACCAAGGCACATGCACATATTTATACAGTATCTGCTACATAGTTACACGGCATGGTACTGAATCAATAAAAGCAAATAAAGTTCAGTGAAAAGATGACGTTGAGGAGTTTTAAAATTGCCTAGTATGAGCTGTGGAACAACCAATGGTGAAGATATACATAATATGTACACCAGTAGCCTCAATTCACAAAGAGCATGTTACAAAAGCATATCCCGATAGAAAATAACAAAGTAAATACTTTGATGTGTGGTTCTAGATGATCATGCCACATGAAAACAGATAAATTTGGCAAATTTTTAAAGGAAGCAGACAACCGACAGCATGTCAAGGTGTATCAATAAAAATACCAAGCAATCAAAGGCACCAGCAGACAAATAGAACTCAGCAGATAGAAATCAATGATTTTTAAGATAAAAGAAGGCATTGTGATACAGTATATTCTTGAACTTCAAAAGTTAGCAGTCACAATTAAGCATTTCAAAAACAGTCCTGTAAACTTATATTGCAGGTGTAGGTATCCGTGGAGTATATCTTTATCTTCATTTTTCAAATTACAAACTGGAGAAGATTTATATTACCTTCTCTATCAAAAGCTGCTCATTCTCTTCCTCTAGTTTCACAGCCATTGACTCCAATTCCACTTGATAGGCCTAAAATCAAGCATAAAATTTAATCAGGAAACAAAAACTACAGTACCTCAAAAAACCAGAAACAAAAAAAGAAAGGAAATTTTTTACCTGCTTCCGCTCTCTTGACCTGGCAGCTGACTCCCTATTCTTAATCATTCTCCTCTGCCTTTGCTGTGTCGCCTTATCCAAGGGTTCTAACAAGCTCAAGCTCCTCGGCTTTTGCTGTGGGACCTTATCCAACGGTTCTAACAAGCTCATGCTCCTCTTTCCTCTACCTCTCCCGTTCCCTAAACCCCCAACATCCGCCCCTATCCCTAATCCGATTCCTATTCCCACCACCGGAGAATTCTCATGCCCGTAAAACCCACCACTCATAGTCTCCTTCTTCACCTCCACAGTCACTCCACCGGCCTCACCCTCTACGGCCCCTGCCTTCACCAAAAAATCCTCCAGAGTCATCATCTCCTGCTTGGGCACCTGCTCGGTTTGCCTCTTCTTTCCCGCCACAATCTCCCTCCACACATCATCCACCGTCTTCCTAGTCGCACGAGGAGGCTCCACGCTCCCCACTTCACAATCACTTATCGGAGTCACAGCCCCGACCGCATCCAGCAACTTAATCTCCGCATTCAACAAAGTACTAGAACTCTCCCCCTCTATAGCCGGGTCCCGATCTGGGCCCCGACTCGGGTCCGAGTCTGAATCACTATCCACGTAAGAATTTCTCAAGAAATCATCCAACCTCATAGAAGAACCAGAAGCGCAGGCTGATAGTTTTCTCTTAAGATCTGAATTACGCGACGCCATCAGCTTCGATGATGCCATTAATTAACAAAAACGTCCCAAAATTATAATTATTAGTGGGATTTGATCAGAATCATCATCAGGTTGCTCATTTTCATTATTTTTTTCTGGGTAAGTGTGCGTGTATGAAAGAGAGAACGATAGTGATGATTGTGCGTGTCAGCTTGCTTGTGTTGACACACAATAGGCTTAGGGTTTTGTATTTCTGGTGATTTTGTGACGAGGAAAGAGAGATTCCGTTTTCTTTTGGGAGACAGGTCACAGATGTGTGTGCGCTTTATTTGGAGGAACGGAAGAACATGTTTGGCCTCCCTTAAGAGTAATGCTAAACATTGAAATGCTAATTAGCAGGACTGATCTATTTTGCCCAGGCAAGACCTCATCGATGAGATCAGTTCAGTACAACAAATACTAAAATATCGATTAGTTAATTTAATTGATAATGCTAAGTAGATTGGATAAGTTGAGCTCATTTTTTACTTAAAAAAGAAAGATAAACTTATTTTTAAGTTAAAAGTAACTCTTAACTAGGTATATATAAGTGTAATCTCAAAGGAATTAGAACACATGTAGACTATCAAATTAATTGGATAGGATTGGATTCTTGATGATAAATGATCCCTAATGCTGTTAAGATGGATAGATGGGGACTCTTGTGTCGTTAGGATGTTGGGTGATGTTGCTAAGACCAAAGAGGAGATTGGGGACCCAATCTGTAACACGTTGGAATAATCAGTATTAGATAGGAGGTCGTTGTCCACCCGAGAATCAATGACAAGTCTAGAATGTCGAGGACACCTGCGGTCCAATAACCAATTTCAATGAGCCTAAGCTTGAAAAGTAATATCATCGACTAGAAAAACCGTTTTTTGAAAATCTTTTAACTACAAACAAAATTCTTCTTTAGTTTCTATGTTGGTATGATTGTAAATCCAAGTAAAAATGTAGCAAAATTGTTGTGTTTCATCTAATAACGAGATTTTGAAGTTACTTACAAAACTTGCCTTATAAAAAGTAACCTTTAAACATAGTCAAACATGCTCACTTCATGTTCTAGTCATGTTTCTTTGTGTAATACTATTCATCATGAGTTGTGATCATCACCGTCTTGACCATCTAATTCAATGTTCAATTAAACATAGTCAAACATGTTCACATGATAAGCTTAATGGATATTTTGAGAAAACTCGGGGCAGTAGCCACCAATAAATAAAAGGTTGGAGATAAGTGTGCCAAAATATAAAGATAGGACAGAAGTACAAAAGATTCTGAAATAAAACATTAAACATGCATTCCCCAAAATAGTGGACGCCAATCAAAACACTAGTGAAGATGTATACAACTCTTACAAGCCATTGTCATAATGCACAAGCCTAACACGTTCTAATCCAAATATATCAAGTAACGTTTGCTTACATTCGGAATTCTATCATAGTACATGTCTACTAAGGATATGAACCGTAACAGATGCTCGACAAGAATGCTCCATACCTTAGGCAATGGAAACCTAGCAGAATGAGATCCGTCCTGTCTTGGTTGGTGCATTCCATAGCTTCACATCGGGATAAACCTTTGCCCATATCAATCTTGGCAAAGTGAGCTCCAAAATCAGCAATCTTCAAAGAGTCAGGCGGTGCAAGCCAGCTAAACT